ATATTAGGCAAGGATCTTCTCTTAAGAAAACGAGAAGCACTAATCTTGGCCTCAATCTTTCCCCTACCGAATCATCCAATCTTCCGTCCACATCTATGCTTTCCGGCGCCGGTAATATTCCCGCAAGACGCCGGCATCCCCGACTAGACATGCTCCTCGCCGCGACGCCGACAGCAACAAGTCCCTGCTGCTGTCCCGGTGACGTTGCCCGCTTCTTGCCCATCACCTCTCGACGCACCGAGACGTTCCGCAAGCTCTGACCGATGTGATTGCCACGGTGTCGGGCGTGCTACAACACGGGCGTGCTAGAACGCGTCCAGCTAGCCCCTGCTCTTAATGCTGCAGCGGCCTTGGATGCAGCCCCAATTCATCCCCGGCAACACCCAGCAGCCACCGCGTCCGGCGTGCAACAGCGCACGACTTAACAGGTTCCTGGCTAGCACCGACGACCGTCACAACGCCGTCACGAAGTCCCGTGCTTGTTCGGCGATCCGGGCGAAGCTTTTTTTGCAGTCCCAACAGCGTCACGACCACCATCAACAACCCCGGAAATCTCCTGCACTCCTACCACCAGGTCGCTTCTATTAAGATTTAGAGCCGATTTGCATGTTCAGATTTCCTCCATTGGTTTATTCTTGTGCTCTGGATCTGCGCATTTTCTCAAATGGCGTCATGAAATATGCCGAGCCAAGTTGGAAAGATGAAGACTTTGATGTGATAGGGAAAGATGAAGACGCTGTTGCTCTTTTCAGCAACAAAAAATGACGAACAGGAGAGGAGAGATAAGGCTGTAGAAAATCGAGACAAGTAATTTGGACTTTCGTATACGAGAAACGTCACACGAATCCGATGGTGTGGTGCTCGGTAGCAATAGCTTTGACACTTAATAAAGGTACGAGTAAGGCGATACTGGTACATGCGTGTTGGATTGAGTCCAAATGTTGGGTCACTAAAATCGAATGTTTTTGTCTTCCCCGTTAATATTTTGCGAATATCAAGTCGCTTTAGATCGAATGGTCACACGTGATTTCATACTTGCATTTAGATCGCGTTGTTAATAAACCTGAAAGGATGCAAAAAATCACATCTTGGACATTGGCAATTCTAGATTGCTTTAATATTCAATAGTTACATTTGCATAGATCACGTCATTATTGCAACATCATCACATGCCCTATCATCATAATTTTCCATGTCATGTTAGATTGGTTCACAACAATTTTACTCGTCATTAGAACGTAGGTGCTTCCACGAGTTAGGGCTTTCATGTTTAGAATAATGTATATAATTCATATAGACTTAGATAGTTTATAATGTTCATCAATTATAAAAATCAAGTAAAAATGTCATCTGGGTCATATAGATTGCATATAGTTTTTATTAATACAATAATGAGCATGTTACACGTAACACATCATTTAGTGAGCAATTCAATTTAGTATTAATGTTTTGAAATCACATCATAGTTGCATCTCATGCATTGCATATAAATTAATTTTTATTAGAAAAGAAAAACCCAAAAAAAATTGAATGTCATCACATTTAGAAATAATGTTTAGATCATGCATACATCACATCATTGTTTGCTTGTTTAGTTAACATTTTGTAGAACTCATGTTTTTTTTGGTCGGAAAAACCCATGTTGCATTGGACGATAACAAATGCTTTGTTTTTGCTTACTCAACGCATCAAGGTTCTTTGAATCCCTTCGTAATTTATTTATTGCTTTGACTATTGAGTGTTAAATTCTTGACTAAGTACCCGCATGATCATTCTTCTCATGTTAGTGGCTTAAGGCTAAAATTGACCAAGACTGCTTGCAGAAAATATTTTTTGAGATAAAGATAATAGGTGCCGAAAGAGTGTTAGATTTATCTAGCGCAACCCATATCCATGAATCTTTGGTTTGCAGAAGTAGAGTGTTTTCCCACACTTTACTTGTGTTTATAGATTAGTGGATGCTCATAATTGAATTGAATTGCCAAGACCCGAAAGTTGTGCTTGGTATGGATTTTGGAGAGTCTGCACTAAGTCTTAGGGCTTATTAATCCATTAGTTTTCCTATTGGTGGTTTACCTATAGAAAGGTGGCAACAATGGACTGAAAATAATAAATTTAGATTAGAGGAAAATAACTTTTCCTTCGGGCAAGAATGAAATCACTTTCATTTAACCACATAACAAATGAAAACTAAGCATTTTCCTTAAAAACGATTTCCATGAAAATTATTTTCCTTTATCATGAAATTTTCAATGAAACATGAGTGTTTGTTTTGAGGAAAACTTCATGGTAAAGGAAAATATTTTTCAGGATATCATTTTTCCAGGAAACTGTTTTCCCTTTTCTGGTTAAGGAATTCATTTTCTTAACTTCGAGAATGCATATTTTCTTTGACCGTAAATGGTTTTTCATTGACTCATCATTTTCAGCAAACCAAACGCGTGAAAGTCCATACAACTAATTTGCAAAAAATTCTTTTTACTCAAATAAACACGCCCACTAACATGTTTCTTAATGTTCAAAACCCTGTTGTTTTATTATTTAGTTACTCTTGGGATCAAACCACAAATCCTCACTATAATCTAAGTATCAAGTAGAGGGGAGCATGATTTTAAGGTAGAACCTGAAACTTGAGAACCAGATCGGTGGGAACCTATTAGTTTCAAGGTGTGCAGAGTAGGTTCCGGGTTCTAAAGGGGTAATTATTTCGAGGGGTAGGTTTCAGGTTCTAAATAAATGGAACCTAGAACTTGAAATAAGTTTTTGTATTTCTCTTGGTATATATCTTTGCGTGATTTTGCGGTATTCCATGACGTTGGATGATAAGTGTATAATCTGGAATCACTAGTTTGAAATTCCATTTTATGACTGAGATTTTTACTCGTTAATGTTTCAGGTTCTTCGAGTGTCTAAATATAAGTTATGGTCAGTGGATTGTAGCGGCAAGTGACGGTCATTAAATGTGATGATTCATTGCAATCGTTCAATTAATAATATAAGTAGAATTGAGTAAATCCTGTAACCTATGACAGAGCAGGTTTCAAGTTGTAGGATATGCATGGTAGGTTTCAGGTTAAAAAAAAATTAAGAACCTGTTCCAATAAATAGGTTCCAGGCGAATCTGTACAAAACCTGAAATCGCTCCTCCCTAATATCAAGTAGAAGAGGATTGTGATTAGACCCAGCCGCATGATAGTTGATTATTTGTGCTTTGGGCCAAATCTACCTCTAGCTAATAGTGACACCTCTGCCTAATCCCACCTTGACCTTCTCGATTATTTTACCAGGTAAAGCCCTGCCCTTCATTAACCCGTATCCAACATTCCCATCTCAAAAGTGAATTTTTTTATCGTCTTCCATCCTGCTCTTTAACTGCAGCTGTCCACCAATCTTCTCATCCAGCCCCTTGATATCGCTCAAATCTCCAATGCACATCCAAGGGTAAGCACTGATTGTGGCCATACTTCTTAACCAATGCCAGAGTCTTCTTGAAGTTTCAGGGTTCGCATGCACCCCTTTAACTCTGTATTCAGCAGCACAGCTAGAGATTCGTATGTAGGTGTCAATGGAACTCTGATCGGCGTAAAGTCATTATTCCACCAAAGGACCAATCCTCGACTCAACCCAACAGGATCAACATAAAACATATTAGCGAATCTCATTATTCTTCTCACCATTTCCAACATTTTTTTGTTTACTATTTGTTTCCAGCAAACAAATGATGCTGGGATGATGTGTTTTGTCAAGGTAAAAAAGGTACCAAACTGTCGAGGACGTCCCCAATTCTTGGCAGTTCCGACAGAGGCCTATCATGGCCCTTGGGTGGCTGTACTAGGCCGGCCACCAGATCCACTCGCAGCAAATATAGCATCATCCAGGACAACTATATCAATCGAGTTCTCCTCATCCGTCGACAGTACGTGCTTCTTGCCTCTCCTCTCATTAGTACCCACACATTTTCTGGCCCTCCTTGCATACCCTTTTCTTTCCACGCTCTTACCTTCAAGCTCAACTTCCATCTTTTCTTCTTTTACAGCCTTCCTGTCTCTTCAGGGATAGGTCTTTGCATAGCTCTGATGAATGGAACAACGGCTCTCTCTCCCCCTTTTCCTTCCACTTCCTCCACTCTGCCAACTTCTTCCTTAGGTAGGAACTCTCCAATATACACTTGACCTGCACTCTCCACGCCCCCAGAACTACCGCAAAAATTTTAGATGAACGGCCGGATGAATGGATAGATTTATGGGCAGAAGGTGAGACAGCTGAGACATGCGAATGAGTTGAAGTGAGGGAATGAGTGCGTAGGGGATTTGATCAAAAGGAGGAGCCATGTGTTAGTATTTTTAGTGAGGAGGACCGAGTCAACAGCATCGGAATTGCACACCGGTTTATCATAAGATGGGAGCTCGTGGGGCTTGAGTTTTTTTCAGATGGAAGTGAAGAACATGGGGGAACCCACTTCTCATCTGAGACATGAGCCCACTTTTCAATGGAGCATGCACGGAAGGAGGCCGTCCACAGAAACGCTCAGGGTGGCGCCAAAGGGGCAAACTTCCCCATATGCTAGCTAGCGAGAGAGAGAGAGAGAGAGAGAGAGAGAGAGAGAGAGAGAGAGAGATGTGTGGTCAATACTCAAGAACTCAATAGGCAGAGAGCTGAACAGACTGTTTTCATTCACTTATGGTCTGGCTCGATGCGGTGGATTGCTTTTCAGAAAGATCAACTTTTCTTGGACGATGAACGTGCAAAGCTTTTTGGGTTTCTTGGCCTACAAGTGTATTTGTCTGCCCATTGCGGGTAGCGCTTCGTCGATACGCTAAGAGAGAAAAGGCGAAGGCCAGAAATGTTTTCGGTAACTATTCAGATTACTACGAGCAGAAAGGAGGGCACCACCCATATAAGAGCCTTTGCGAGAGCGCGCAATTCACCTTCTCGCTCGCTCTCGCTCAAGAATCCAGGAGGAGGGGGTGGAAAAAGCTACAGTACCAAGAAACCCAAGAATGTCCGTACTGGGTTTCGACGAGTTGAGCCTGATCCTTCAAAGGGTCCCCGACCCCAACGACCGGAAGGCGTTCTCCGAGGTCTGCAAGCAGTGGCTGCGGGTGGAGGGCCTGAATCGGTTCGCGATTAGGGTTCTTGAGCCCGATCTCCTGCGCCGATTCCTGCCCAGGTTCCCGAATTTGGTGCAGTTCGAGTGCTCCAAGCTGCTCACGGACGCCGATGCCGATTTCGTCTCGAGGACGTGCCGAAAGATCGAATCGTTCAACCTCAGCTACAAGCAGCCGCGCCACGCGTGCTGCGATTTCGGGGAGGCCTCTTCGGGTGTCGAGGACGTCGGGAGTGATGGGCTGTGCGCCGTGGCGAGCGGCTGCCCGAGGGTGTCGAAGGTCTTGTTGAGGAGGAGGAAGAATGTTGAGGACTCGGGGGTTGTATCGCTGGTCGAGCGTGCGAAGAATTTGAGGACTTTGGATTTGGGTTGGTGTAGTTTGATTACCGATCAATCTCTAGAGGCGATCGGGCGAGCGAATTGTATTCGCACCTTGAATTTGGAACATTGTTCGATGATTTCGGATTCCGGGTTGGCTTATTTGGCGAACGGGTCTTTGGCAAGAACTCTGAAGAAGTTGGTTCTTGCCGAATGTGACCAGATTACGGACAGTGGGGCTTCGGTGTTGCCGCGGTTCTGCTGTCTGGAGGAGTTGAATATCGCAGAATGCGGGCCGAAGGTCACCGATGATGGAGGAATGGCAATTGCTGCTATTAAATCCTTGAGGACGCTAAATTTGGCGTGGCTGATAAATGTATCTGACATCACTCTCTTTGCACTTGCTGAGAACTGTGAAAATTTGGTGTCGATTGATTTAACTGGCTGTGAGCTGATTAGTGGAGCTGGAATTCGTGCTTTCGAGAATCATTCTTGTTTGGAATCTCTGGTTTTGGCTAATTGTTATGGCGTTAACGTGCATGACATAGAGCAGACGGTGCTTGGATGCCAGTCTCTGCAGCATATTGTGCTTCAAAAAGGATTGGGAATGTGGATGCCGGAAGCAATGCGAGAGAACATCTGTAGACTATGCACGGTTGACTGGAAATGATGGAGATCTCATGATTCCGTAGATTAGCATAGTTCAATTGCTTATTTGCTAGTTCAAATCGATGCTGATTTCTTTTTTTGGACTATGTGAGCAAGCAACTGTACCATATGCGAGACTTTTCCTCCTTGTCTGCAATATACCTGCATAAAGTAATAGTAAATCTTTCCTATGTTAGTGCCCCGTCTTTTTGTGTGCTTGGGATGCATGAATTGTTTTCTGCGGGATAATGAAATGCTCCAAGACTTTGCAGAGTTGCTAACTATGTTGAAAAAAGTTTTCGTTGAGCATCGCGTGGTTGAATTGCTAAACGAAGATTATCCGTTCGTCTTTTCAGTTACATGAAGAGTTTGAACATATGCCAACTCCTTTTTATTTTTCACCGAATTTCACAGGTTTGCCTCTAGGCACAAGTTGGGAATTTTTAAGACTGTTCTACTTCGTGTAGTATGATCTTAACGCGTTTAAGAGTTTCTTTGGAAGAGTTTATAACTAACTTTGAGGAATTTGTTCCATGAGTTTTCAGGGAGCTTCTATCATTTCTTTACTTAAGCATTTAGTCATTTCTATCAACCAGATCAACATGTTACATCATACTGCTTCATTTCATCTCTGATTCAACAGTGGAAACAGTGACATAATAATACCGTTGATTGTATCAGAGAAATTCCTGAGTTTTCGTTGTTCGTGGAACTTGTCATGTGTCCAGATCCTTTGAATGATAAAATCCTGGAAAGCAGATTGGTAAATGTAGAATGTCTGTTTGTCTACCTCTTCAGACAGTTTCTTGATCTCCATGGATGTCCTTATCTGTTATTATGTGTTGGCTCTTTTGTCCAGTAAAGCTGTTGTAAATTGGTTTCTTTCTTATCCTCATTTGATCAATTCTTGTTTTACTTCTTTCTGGGTTGCGCACTAAACGAAATAGTTCCTTAGAGCACATCCTAAATTCAAATTAGAGAAGAGCTCAAATCTTTCTTATTGGTAAAGAGAGTTTAGGTCGGCAATGTATGGAGAGCCTTGTGATTTGTCATTGACATGTGTACATGCATCATTTTCTATTAACCAAAACACAAGCAATTGACTGTATACATCTTTCAGATGGAAATAAGTTTTCTTGCCTCTGCTGTGTGATGTTGGTATGCGAACTCTCGTGAATCATAAGTTTGTTTTGCGTGCTCTGTATTGCCTTTAGTTTTTGTTTTGCGTGCTCTGTATTGCCTTTAGTTTTTCTAGAGCATCTCATTATCATCGCAGATATAATCAAATTATGATGTACTTTGACATGGATGTCAGCCAGAAGAATCTTCTCTCTCTTTTTCCTTATTTTTCTTCCGTTGAATATAATGAGATTCCTGTTAGCACCAAAAGTTTTCATCTTCAGTATGTATGATGGTTATGGTTATGGATCAGTAAGCATTAGGGTTGAGAAATGATTTGTTAATCATTGAAGGGATGGATGAAAACCAAGGACAGCAATTTCGGTCTAATGTCCAATTTTCATTCACATTGTTAACAGTAACCACGATCAAGCTGATTACAGTAGGTTCAATTCATATAATGGTGCTGAAGATGTTGTGGAACCTTCTCCAATCTGAAGTTGTAGTGTGAAGATGGCAGAAGCTGACCAATGTTCAAGCTGGTTGTGTGATATTACTTCATGTGTCTGCTCGAAGGCGCTGGCTTGATTTTGCAGTAGCTTTTTTTGTACAATTTTGCAGAAGCTGACCACTAGTTGCACTGCTGACTGAAGTACAATTCTTCCTGCTATTCTAGCGGTCTCTTATAGATATGAGCTTTTCCTATCAATCTGATCCTTTGGCTTTGAAGATTCTATTTATCGTATTCTTTAAAGGAATAAGAAGTTGGAACTGATGGAGAGAATCACCGGGCAATTCAATCAAAGCAGCAGGAGGAGAAAAGACTGACTGTAACTAGTGGTGTGGGTGAGTTAGCTTTATTTTGTTTTTCCAGTTTTTTCAGTTTCCTCTGCCTTTGGTGACTCCTTGCTTTGGTTATTGTACTTTTAATGGTTTGAAACCTGGACCCTGAGCTTGTTGCGACTTCAGTATTAGCCTTTATCAATTCAAATTAGACTGCCAGATCAAGCATTGACATATTGGTGAACATGACACAAGTTGTTGCCGTTAATAACCTCAAGCATTTTGTTTTGCTAAAGGATTAGTGAAGAGTATAATTAGCTAAGAGGTCTATGGATTGAAAAATCTGAGGCATGGTCGAATCAGGCACTTTCTAAATCTAGCGCCCCCCATCCCCCCCGGCCTTGACCACTAGACCGACCTCTTAGGGTCAACTTGGCTCCTCTTGAAAGCAGAAAAACTTTTCCAAATGAAACAGTGCCTCGTTTTAAAATAAAGTTACGGTCAATTGCTTTTTTCCTTTTGTTGTATTGCACCATTTTTGAGTAGAATATCAAGATGTGCGTATTGTTGGGTTTCGGTGCAGGTAGATGATTGGTTTAATAGATTCCAACATTGAACTCATGTCCTGATTTTCCTTGAATGAGACGATACCATTTCGGTGTTCATGAACTAGAAGAGATGAAATCTGCATTTTCTCTTCACCTCCTCAAGATTCTCAGCATTAAATGGAGGCTTTTGCGGGTGTAAAAACTATTTCTCATAAGCTCGAGCCATCCATGCCAGATTCACGCTTGCTCTCATGAATGAAACTGAGACTAAAAGTTCAAGGGCGGCACTTGGCGTAAGCTGGCCCACTTGAAGGTGTGCTCAAACTGCTCCATGTCAAGGTAAACGCGTTACTGTTCTACAATAGCATAGTGTAGTATCAGCAACAGTAATAACAACAATCGTCATGCAACTATAATCTTGTCTGCTTCTTTTTTTCTTTTAATCGTATTGACTGAGAGAGATCCACTGCGCCTTGTTGACAGCCATGACTCTCTGTTTCTTCTTTTTTAATGTTTGGGGCTTCTTTCTCTGGGTTCATTCTGGGTTTCTTCTCCTCTTTCTTTCCTGTCTGTGCAGTACCAGAGAGAGAGAGAGAGAGAGAGAGAGAGAGAGAGAGAGAGAGAGAGAGAGAGGACTCAGCGTATTTTAGACTTTAGAGAGTTGGTTTGGTTGGTTTAAGGTTGCATGGAGAGGATCCGTTTCTGCCTTAGCGAAGACTTTTCGTGCCTCTTTGGCACCAACTAAGTTACAAGGTAGTGGAGTCTTCCTTAATTCTTCTGCAATGTTATGTTCATGCGTGGGAGATCTTGCGGGTGAAATTTGCTGGAGACAAAGATGCTAGGAGTTGGCTCTTCATGGCCATGGGTTGAGGACGATCTTGGAAAGTGATCTTTAAAGATTTGTCATCTTTCCTTCTTTCACGAGAATTGATACTTTTAGAACGAGAATATGAGTCAAGGGGTTCAGAGATTTATATGAACACAATTCAAATCTGCATCAACACTAGCAAGAATCATTTCCATAGATCTCAAGCTTTACGTCCATAGAATGAACTCACCACTAAGCAAATTCTACACGAACATATAGAACACAGATCGCCACCACTTCATCCTTGATCTTCACTCATAAACCAACACCCTCATGGAAGATCTTTACTTCTTTGGAGCCCAGCAACCATGGAAACCATAAGGAAGGCCATAAGGGAACTTCGCTCTAGCAATCTTCTCAAAAGTGGAGCCATTAAGGGCGCGTTTGGTAACGCTTCTGTTTCTCTATTTTTCTGTTCTTTTGTTCCCTGGAACAAAAAAAGAACAGAAATTCGTTTGGTAACGCATTTTATTTTTCTATTTCCCGGAATAGAAAAGTGGCCAAGAAATAGATTTGGAGCAGAAATAAGAAGTAGAAAAAATTTACTTCTTTGTTCCTAGAAATAGAAATAGAAATAGAAAGGTCCGGTCCTCAAGCTGCGACCTCAGCTCCTCCTCCATCCTCCGTCGTCTGCAAACCGTCTCAAAGCACCGGCCCGGTCCATTCTCGGCGGAAATAATAAAAAAATTACAAATAATTAATTAAATTATAAAAAATTCCAAAAATTCATAAAAATCAGAAAAATTCTCAGAAAATCCATAAAAATTTGCAAAATTCCGAAATTGAAAAAATTAAAAAAAAAATCATAAAAAGCTTTCTGGAAAATAAAACGAGAAATTTCGGGAAAGTAAAAAGTTTTAATAAACTTTTCCCCAAAAAAAAAAATAAAAAATTCACATAATGGCTTAGAATAAATTAAAAAATTCCGAAAATTCATAAAAATTAGAAAAATTTCAGAAAAATCCAATAAAAAATTAGAAAATTAAAAAATTCCCAAAATTCATATAAATCAGAAAAATTCTCAGAAAATCCATAAAAATCAGAAAAACTCAGAAAACCCTTAAATATTTGCAAAATTTCGAAATTGAAAAAATTAAAAAAATTTCATAAAAAATTTTCGGAAAAATAAAAAGAAACAGATTTAGGGAAAGTAAAAAATTTTAATAAATTTTACCCCAAAAAATATATAAAAATTCACATAATGGCTTAGAATACCTGTAGTCACCCACTTTGAGTGAAATTTAAATTTTTGAGATGACCAAGTGGTATTTTTGAAGATTCCTTAGTTTAGGGATTAAAAGGGGTTTTAAACCACTAAAAAGGATTAGACAAACCAATAAATCATGCTTATTGATTTTTTTTCACTTATAACTTGTACTTATAGTTAAATAAAAGATATAGATTTGAATGCAAAAAATTAGGAATAGAAATTTTGTGCAGTTACCAAACGCATTTCTGTTCTTTTTCTATTCCAGGATTATAAATTTTGTGCAGTTACCAAACACATTTCTGTTCTAGAAATAGAAATTTTGTGCAGTTACCAAACGCATTATTTTGCTCAGAAACTCTTCCAGGAAATAGAAATAGAAAAAACTATTTCTGAAAAGAAATTGTTCCCAGAAATAGAAACGTTACCATACGCACCCGCCGTATTTCTGTTTTTCCCATAAAAACTAAGGCTGTGAATGATAATTATTCTGTTTTTCTATTTCTGTTCCAGAAATAGGTTGGAACAGAAATCCGTTTGGTATCGCAATTCTATTTTCTATTTCTGGAACAAATTTTGGTTTCAGAAATAGATTTGAAACAAAAATCATAAGTTAAAATTTTTTACTTTTCTATTTCTGGAACAGAAATAAGAAGTTAAAATTCTTCTCATTGCTCGTCCTCGCTATTAGCTGGTCATCCACCCGCCGCCCATCGCCGCCTACTTGCCGGCCGTGGCCACCTGCCGCCATCGCCCGCCTCCGACTGCCGCTCGCCTCCCACTGTCAGCCGCCGTCCACCGGCCACCGTCTCTCGCTGCCGCCCGCCTCCCATCGCTCGCCACCGTCTCGTGCCGCCGACCTCCCTCCTCTCACAGCCACTTGCCTTCGACTGCCACCCACCTCCCACCATTGGCCATTGTAGGCTGTCGCTTGCTGTCCACCAGCCACCGCTCCCACCTCCCGCCGCCCTCCTCCTACCACCGCCCGCTTCCCGCCGCCGACTACTGCCTCACACCGCCGGCCGCACTCTTCCCGCCTCCCACCGCCGGCCACCATCTCCCACCACCAGCCTCCCTCCTCCCGTCGCCGCTTGCCTTCGACCGTCGCCCACCATCGGCCGCTGTGGGCCGCCACCCGTTGTTCACCGACCACTGCTCTCACCTCCTGCCGTTGCTTGCCTCTTGCCGCCGCTCGCCTCCTGCTGCTGTGAGCCACTGCCCGCCATCCAGCGGCCACCGTCTCATGCCACCAGTTGCCCTCCTCCCGCTGCTGCCTTCCTCCCATCGCAGGCCGCCTCCAGCTGCCATCCTCCGCATTGGCCGCATCGCCGTCCGCCGCCGCCTCCCCCCGCCATCCGCCTCTTGCCATTCGCTGTCACCGTCCGCCGCCTGCCCGCCGTCCACTCTCCAGCCACCCAAGAGGGAGAAATTTTGTGCCGTTATCAAACAAATTTCTGTTTCTGGAATAGAAATTTTATGTCGTTATCAAACGTGTTTTTTTGCTTAGAAACTCCTCTAGAAATAGAAATAGAAAAATCAATTTTTGGCCAAAAATTGATTTCTGAAACAGAATGATTGTCATTCACAGCCTAAGCAGCAATGCATACCCACCCCCTTTTTTCTCACTAATCATTGAGATCACCACACCTGCAAGTGCAACCCCAGCACACAGTTCTTCACAAAAGAGACTCGAGAAATTCTTTTTATGGAAAAAGTTTGCAAAATAGGAGAGTCAACTACAATGTGAGGTATGACCAAAAAAGAAAAAAAGAACTACAATGTGAGGCACTATAAAGGAAATTATTCAAGAAAAATCATTTCCCAGAATTGTGGGGAGACAGAATGTTATACATGTGTTAACCAAATATTTCGAGCAAGAGATATTGATGCCACCTCACTTCAAATGATGCAAAGAGATTTCGAATGTTTTGTCCTCAATTAAAGGCATTACGAGCATATGTTGCGATTTGGATTTTCTAAATTCTTACCATCATCTTCCTCGGTAGCCCTTGGCCTTGCAACGAAGAATGGTTCCGAGGGCACGGCGCCATCTACATGCCAATTCTTTGCCTTCTTCTGCACTAGATCTACCTGCCGAAACCTTTCACTTTCATTAACTTCTCATCATGAAAATCACTTGAAGATCATCTTCTACTTGCAAGTACGTAATGCAGCAGCTATATCTCCTTTGCACGACATCAGCTCATAATTATGCTATGGAAGCATGAATTTTGGGGACATGAACATAAAACCTTGGTGAGGGTGTTCGGGAAATTGCAAGGACGTCGGGCCTTACAAGCGTAGACAAATCTGTATTTTTTGCCCAAAAAGGCACTGTTGATATTGCAAAATTCGATGCCTCTCCCTTGTTCATTTGGGTCCAATGCTGTCTCCAACTTCCCATATGGACTCCCATCTAATGGTTATGTGAACCTCCCAACCCTGCCCAAATTGACCATCATCATCAAGGCTAACTTGAAAAGGGAAAGTAAATATGTTGATTCTGCAAATTGGCCTTTAGTGTGCCTCTCTTCCTTTGTTCATTAGGTGGGGTTTTGCAAATGGGGAGTTTGGAAAAGACCACTTTGTTCTGCTACGGAATGATTTTGAAGGTGATGGTGCAATTTGAATTTTTTTTTCCTTTTCTGTTTGTGAGCGATGATTCTATTCTCTTTCTTGCATAGGGCAGACTTCTAGAATCATTGTGGGGGATATAGATACCAATTTTTGCAAATTTAATGTTTATTTCAACTTAAAAAATACCCATTACTTTCCCTTCAAAACTTTGAAAGAAAAAAATAACAAACATTAAGTTTAAATTTCTATAATTATGAGATAACTATATATATGATTCTGCATTTGAATATTTGTTTTTTTTTACAAAATATTTCAAGGGAATCAATAAATATAACGTGCTACAAAAAAAGAAAGAAAGAAAAAGTAAAGTTGGTATCTAACAAAAAAGAACAAAAGGGCTATTATTGAAACTCATCAAATAGAAATGAGATATACATTAAAGAAAACGGGGTACCTTCTTTTAAAGAACCACTATACTACTTTCCTATGCATTAAAAACATATCGTGTGTATGTGAACAGGTATTATGAAGATAAAAAATTTGGCCCGGAATATCCAAATAATCATATATTTAATCGACCACTAATTTCCTTAAATCTACTTGCAGCTTCGATTTTCCTTCTATGTATATAGTATTTTCATTCTATATACGATTATCCTTATTTCAATAATCGAACGAAAATAAGCATATATGCGTAATTTTATGCGTGCACGGATTCTAAAGCTGTTTACAAAATACAAAACTAATTTCGGGAAGTATGTCTTGGCCTGCAAAGGAGGGAAGGTTTCGGAGGGTGAGCTTGTTGAGGATGAACCATGGAATATAGAGACACATAGTTTCTTATAATTCTCTCCCGAAAAAGGTACTATTGTTCATTGTTCTTGCCCAGGAACTTCTCAACAAAATGGTCAAGCAGAATGTAAACATAGACACATTTTAGAAGATATTACTCGCACTCTTAAAGTATCCTCCTCTCGTCTAGAGCAGTTTTGGGGAAAAGCTTGTCTCATTGCTGCATACTCTATCAACCATACCCCATCACCTGGGTAACATTTCTCCTTAAGAGCATTTATATGGTAGTGTCCCCAGTTATAGTCTTCTTCGAGTGTTTGGTCGTCCATGTTTTGTCCATCTTCTTCCACTTGAACACACGAAATTAGAACCTAATGAACGTTTATGTTGCTTCCTCCAGTATGGCATTGGGCGCAAAGGTTATAAATGTTGGGATCCTATCTCTAACCGTCTTTGTGTGTCTCATCATATTAATTTTGGGAACACAAGATGCTTTCATCTCTTCATCCTTTCAAATCATTGACTCATGTTCCTTTCTTCACCAACACTTCAGTTGATTTACTCCCCGGAAAAACCCAGAACTCCGTCCACTTGTGAACCTTTCTCTCCATCTTATTCTAACATTGATGCACGTCCTTCTGGCGATACCATCTCAGCAACTTTTGACATGTCTGCTCCATTTGTGGATTTTCCAGCAACAGACATTCCGTCATCCTCTGTCCGTAGTTCTACAAAATTAAGTCAACCTTCCGTCCGACTTTGCGATTACCATTGTTACTCTACCATTGCTTCTTTTTCAGAACCTCGCACTTATAGAGAAACTGGTACTAATCCTCTCTGGCAATAAGCAATGATAGATGAGTTGCAGGCCTTAAACAAATCTCATACATGGGATTTGGTTGATTTGCCTCTTGGTAAGTCTGCTGTCAGCCGTAGATTTGTATATAAGATCAAAACAAAGGCAGTTGTTAACATGGACCATTACAAAGCTCAGCTAGTAGCGAATTCCTTAATCAGGAATATAGAATTGATTATGAAGAGATTTTTGCTCCTGTTGCGCGTCTTACTTCTATCCACAGTCTTATTGCTGTTGCCATCGTTAAGCGTTGGTCTCTCTTCTAGATGGATGTTAAAAATGCATTCTTGAATGGAGATTTAATTGAGGAAGTTTATATGGTGCCTCCCCTTGGATAATCTCATCCTTCAAACAAAGTGTGCCGGTTACGTCGAGCATTATGTGGCTTGAAACAAGCTTCCCATGCTTGGTATTTCAAGTTTAGCTCAATCATGAAATCTCTTGACTTCAAATCTAGTCACTATGATCATGCTCTTTTTGTTCAACGCACTTTTTGCGGATGATGTGGTTATTACTGGCGATGAGCATATTGACATTTCAAAGCTCAAGCAATGTCTTAGTCAACAGTTTGAAATGAAATGTCTTGGGCGACTCAGTTACTTTTCAGGCTTGGAGATTACTTCAGACATTTCCCGGTTATTATCTTTCTAAAACCAAATATGCTATTAATCTTCTTTATCGAGTAGAACTCATTAACAACAAGCTCATTGTTTTTCATGAGCTCACCAAACACATTGAAATCGACTGTCATTTCATTTGGAATCATGTCTCTAATGGCACTATATGGCCCATCTCCACTTCATCTACTGATAGTTTCGTGAAGGCACATCTACCTGGGTATTCTAATCTCTTCTCCAAACTCCAGTTGACTTCTTCTAAGTCTCCTTGAGTTTGAGAGAGAATGTTAGAAATCATTGACAGATATCAGGAGATGTCCTTGATTAATTGTGATTGATTGTCTCAATATTATAGTATCTTATTACCTTTCTTATTACCCTAGATAATTATTCTGTAAAGCCTATAAGAAGGGTCTTGTACTTTTTGTTTAGTAACGAGTAGAATATTATTTTTCTCTTGTCCACAAATCTCAACGTTGGTGCATCGGGTGCAATTCTCACCTAGTGCACCCAATGGACCCCGTAGCAAAATAAATCCATCTCGCCATTCGCTAGTGTTCACCCAAGTGCCTCATTCGCGTCTGACCAAGCGCCACAATGGTTGAATTACGATGTTGTTGACACGTCGCAATGTCAAGCTTTTCTTTTTCATGGAGGTATTTTTTCTACGATGCGTGGACGCTTCTTCGAATAGTAACTTTCGATTAGCAAAGTCTGGCTTATTCCACTTGTTATAGCCATGTTAGCCATATCGGCTGCGTTTGTTCGGTTACTGTTTTAACAACAAAGTCAACCGTAAAGGATGCATGATGTTTGGCTCCAACAGCAAAGTCAACCGCAAAGGACGCATATTGTTGGCCTCCAATTCTTAACTATGCACTTCTCGTTTTGAGAAGACCATCACCAAACTCGCCGTTCTTAGACGAGTAACATACTAAAACCTTCTTGTCAATGGAAGCTTGGAACCACCACATTCGCCGCCTTGCCTCGGATCCGTTGAGCTCAATTTAATCGAAGATTTTGTGACATTGTTCAGATTATTTTTCAAACTGAAGTTGATTTGTTTCAACTCACCTTGCGTTTGAGGGGGAATGTTGGCGATATTAGGATATCTATTTGATTATACACATCTCTCAGGTTTATGCATATACTTCCTGTCGCGACCGACATCTCCCCGCTTTTTATCGGCAACATGCAAAAAAGGGGGTTTCGCCTGGTACGTGCTAAGTCTAGGTTCGGGACTTAACTCGGGCTCTCCCAAGCTCATACCATATCACGACTTAGGGTTTAAGTTTTTTAACATGCAAGTGGTTTATATCAAGGAGTCGCCACTAATCGATTAGGGGTGGGTCGATTAGAAACCCAAATAAGGTGATGGGAGAATCACCATATTCCTACGAATCAGAGATTAAATGAGTTCGGCGACTTGGTTACACTAGTTGGATAACTAATGCCCTTTCGGTACCATTTTACCCTGTGCATTTCTGAAACATTTGTCAGGCAATTTGGATTGATTTTAGGACCTTTCTCCTAACATGTGGGGTGATCAAGCAAGTGCATAATCATAGACGATCAGCAGTCAAGATAAATATGCAGCCTTAGGTTCTAATCTTAACTAAGTCAGATGACATTCAAAACACAACTCATGCAATTGTATTAAAACATGCATAAAAATACCACAATAAAATAAAACAACAAATATATCACATACTAAAAAAAAAATACGAAAAAGAAAAGAAAAATATTTTTTTAAATTTAAAAAAACAAATACGGAAGAAAAATAAAAAGAAAAAAATATTATTTTATTATTTTTTTAAATTTTTTTTAAAAAATAAAATAAAATAAAAATCGGGTTGGTCGGATCTGACCCGGGTCAACGGATCTGACCCGGGACGTTGACCCGGGTCAACAGACCCAACCCAGGGCGTTGACCAGGGTCGGGTCGGTTGATTCGGTTCGGGTCACCCCTGCGTGTACAAACACGCGGGGACGCCGGCGGAGCCAAAATTGGCCTTCCGCCGGCCGACCCAGGCCGCCGCCGACCGAGAACCGACTCCTGGAGAACATCACCAAGTCCCGCCGCCCACCTGGGTCGCCGTCTGACCGCCACTCGCCGGCCGGCGACCGAATTAAAAAACGGCATCTTTGAGGCATTTTGTCGAGCAAATGGCGTGCGTGACCAAAATAAATGGTTTTCGACCTACCTCGGGGATCCGGCGCACTCCGGCGACCTACCTTACTTTCGACGGTGACACACAGACCATAGGGGACGACGGTATGGGCCGGGATTCGTGCGAAACGGCCGGCACGAGTCCCGGCCAAACCGGGCATAGAAACAGGGGCGAACAGGGGACCCGAGGGGCTCACCGGTCGGCGGCGATTCTGGCGAGTCTCCGGCTGATCTGCGGGCGACGGCGTGACTACAGGGACCTGCAAACGCTCAAATCTC